CCCTTTTTTTTTCTTTTTTTTTTGTGTATATATATATATCTAAATATGTCTGGGTGCTTATGTATTATAATCTGATTGTGTTTTTGTTGTTTTGCGCGTGAGTTTAAGACCACATTCACACACTTTTGAATAAAAAATATATATACATGTATTGTCAAATGACCGGATATATTGTAGCGTCTGGTCGAACGTAATTTCAACGAAGAAATTAATTGAATAACATGTATTTTTTCCTTTCTCAATAATTTTGTAGTTTTTAAACTTATAGTGATTAAATTTGGATTTTAAAATTGCCAGTTTTTAATTTTAATAATAAATTTTATCATATAATTTTATAATTATTGGTTAGTATAAATTATTTTTAATATAACCCGTATTTTAAAGATCTGAATAGCTATTATAACATGATTTCGTTGTCAAGCTTTTGAATCTTTCTATACTTGGTTTTTGATTGGTTATTCTAGCTTTTGTAACAATGTTTCCCCCTAGTGTAGGATCGTTAATTAATTTGAAACTTTTAAAACCATTTATTTTATCTTCAACATCATCACTTGATAAGACACCGAGGGTGTTGAAACAAAATGGCTATTTTTGTAGTGATTTTATAGCATACTTATGTTATAATTTTTTTATAAATAATAATTATATATATATATATATATATATACACATTAGAAAGCTCTTCCCTGAATTGTGAGCACTTTTAGTCATTGGCGTATTTATTCACAAAGTATGTATCTAAAAATTCGCCTTTCCTTCAACCGTGCGCCCGATGGCTTATGGGGAAAATAACCGACTGATGAGCTGTGAAACAGCGAAACAGTCTGTCTGTGGATATGATAAAATATCCAAATGAGAAAAATGAAAGAAAGAACAGATGTTCATTGCATTTACTTTCAAAAAAGTGCTTAATAAAAAGTGGAGCAAATATATTATTGTTATTTTTATTATAAGAATTTGTAATAAAAACATTGTGATATCGATAAACAAAAGCTTTACTTAACATCGCCTGAAGAAGGACAATCAGTGTATCGAAACATGAAAGAGTTTGTGTAGCGATTTCAAAATGGTTTTATTATAATCTCCTATAATAAAAATATAATAAAATATAGTTTGAAAGTGCTCAATATGAGGAATAGAGCATATGTAAATATAAAAGTTGACATTGAGGTCAATACCGTCTGTTTCATGCTTATACGCTATCGTCAGGACAAATCTTTCTGTGTGCGCGCACGCACACACACACACACATATATATATATATGCAGAGAAGGTTTTTGTCTACAACATTATTCAAAAGTGGTCTGTAACTGTGGCGGCGATCTTTGACCTGGGAAAACTTTTTCGGGCATTCCATTCTACTGCTTGGTCTGTCAATTCTCGAGGAGATAGGTTTGCCTATCGTCCGGTTCATACTCCTCCCCAGTCTTTAGAACAGGAGTAGAGGTTCATCCCTTGTTTCCTGTATAGGACTGGGTTTCCGGTCCCTTCTAAAGTCTACTTCATCTCCATACCCCTAACGACTCAGACATTTTATTCGCTAATTAAATATCGACTTCTTCAAGTCTAGAACTAGATGTCCTTCCTGTTACCTTGCCATTTTATACGTTAATACAACTGCACGCAGTAACCCTCTACCTTGGGTGGCCCTGGAGACTTATATTAGGTGAATATTAATGAAAAAAAACTCAACCTTGGTTAGCTTCCTTTTATACATCACCCATTTTATCATTCTGTGTGTAAAAGCAAAGAGAATAAGTCAAGTATTCTTTTTGTGTGTGTGTGTGTGTGTGTGTGTGTGTGTCGTGTCCCTTCAGGACATAGGCAATCATTGCTCTCCCGAAATTTCTCTCCTTTGTAGCTCTTCATAAATTTAGGCTTTTTGTTATCTCTCCTAAACTGGGTTTCGCCATCTATTTACTCAAGCTCACTAAGTAGATTATGCGTTGCTTTTCTCTTTCGGGCTGTCACGTGAGTGTCATATTTTCCAAGTACTTTTTTTCTTATTATGGAGCTTAGAAATTCCAACTATTTTTTTTTTCCGATGTTAATTATACTTTTTGTTTCCCTTTTATCTAAAATCTCGTCACTGTTCACATCACGCCGAAGAAAGTTTCTCTTATTTTCGGGCGCTCATTCAGGGCAACATATGTGGGATAAAAGTTTTTCCCTAAACATCAACCACGTCGACCGCAGCAAAAGAAACATCCTATTTGAGTTTCTTCTATCCTTAAATACATACGCATTCACACACACACACACAATATATATATATATATATATATATATATATATATATATATTTCATAATTAGTTATCATGTGTAGACCTAGAAACTTCAACAGAATGCAGAAAAACACTGAATGGCCGTTTCGTCCTATTTTTAGGACTCATCAGCAGTACGCACGCACGCACGCACGCACGCACGCACACACACACACACACACACACACAAAAACTTATGGAGCATGTTGCACAACTGCTTTCTCGAGAGCCTGTACTTTATAATGTTCCATAAGTTTTCTATGAGGTTGAGGTCAGGAGATTGGGGCGGCCATTTCATAACACTCACCTGCTTCTCATCAAAGTATTCCTTCATCAATTTTGATTTGTGACAGGGGACATTATCCTGCATAAAAATGAGCTTGGTGGGGTCGATTTGCACCCTTTCAGCAGAAGGGAGCAGGCAAGACTCTAAAATTCTCTTGTACTGCTCGCTCCTGGGGGTCTTTTCCATGAAAAGAAAAGCATCCCCAGAACATTATACTGAACGGATACTTGACAGTACTTAGTGCTAAATTCAAAGAGCTTTCAAAGCTTCTTCTTCGGATTTTAGATCGCTTATCCTTTGAATTTAACTTAACTTTTGTTTCATCGGAGAAGAGAACATTTAGTAAAAAAAATGAGGTGGGTCACTTTTATCGAACAGCACTGTGTGTGTGTGTATGTGTGTGTGCAAATATATAGAAAAATAGGAAAGAACACGTTAGGTAAATAATCCGGAGTTCATACAAAAGTAGAGCTTAAATTATAGTTTTTTAAAATAATTATAACATATATATATATATATATATATATATATATATATATATATATATATATATATATATATTGGCTATCACTGCAAGTTTGTAGACACCTCTTTAAATTTTTTTTTTTTTCCTAGAAATATCTATGCATTTTAAATACGTTTGGAGTAATGCGTTTTTCTTCTAAACTTCATGTCAATATAACAGTCTTGGCTTTCGACAAGTCGTCGAACTTTACTCATTCAGCGAGAAACTGTCCGGCTGAATGTCAATATTGATAAATCAGTCAGTCAGTAGTTCGTCAGTCGATGTCGGACGACCGGCTGATCGGTTGAACTCTCTGCTTTCGGGAGGGGAGGAACCCGAAAGATGCTACGCCGAAGGGCGGATTCTCTTTCGGGGCGGTAAACCGACCCTGAACCCGTTTATACGGGTTCAATGGGCATATTTTTGGCCGAGCTCACGGGCTTGGAGATCCCACGTTTAACCGGCCTTGTGCCACATGACGCCCTCGTGGAGGGGGGGTGACTGAATATCGTCAGTACTGATAAATGGCGCAGAAATGTGGTGTGAAGCAGAGATCCTTACTTGTACCCACCTTGTCTGGACTTTATTTTGCCTCCTTCTCAGGCAAGTCCTCGAAACCTCAAATGAGGGAGTCTAACTTCATCCAAGAACAGATGGCAAAATCATCACTCTTGACTAGCTGGAAGCCAAAACAAAATCAGACCACTTGTCGTTGGGGAAATGCTGTTTGACGCGCAGGCATGAGTCTGACTCTTGATCATAATTTTTTTCATGACTTATCAATCCTTTCTGGGATATTTAAAGCCGAAGCATATACTGAATAATGATAATAATTCTTTAACTATGAGAATAACATTTGTATTAACAGTATTTTGGGAATAACACTGATATTTCAAGATACACGTCCTACTATTTAATCCATAGCGGGGAGATAGAGTCATACCATGACCTTAGCCAAAGCTGTTTGGGCGTAAGTGAATTTAACGAACCCGACTGGAATTCGAACTTGGCTCTCCGATTTCTCATTCCGAGCCATTATCCATTACACCACCCGCACATCCATTACACCAATCTCGCACATTTTTAATCCTTTTCCCTCTCTCTCTCTCTCTACAGGATGTATAAAAAAATACTTTTACAAACTTTGGGGGCAAATTCATGACACCAAAGCAAAGGTCAAATGTCCGCAAAAGTTGGAGGTCGCGGCTGCCTTCGGCCTGCAAACGCAATGTGATACAGCTGTGTAGCCTCGCATCCATTATTATTTACGGAACCGTACGTAAAAATCATATCTGCCTGTCCACGATGTGACTATGCTGCCATTGGTAATCGGAACACTTCTCAGTTAACTCATTCACACGTTAAACATTGAAGACAGACTAGTCACAAGTATACACGAATGACAAATGTAACCTAGTATACATACCAACACAACACCATCAACTGTAAGCTTTCATTAAACTTAATAACTCAAAAATGAAAGATTTGCGGACATATCTTTATATGGAATTTTTTCCTTGTTTTGGTGTGAGGAACTCGCTCCCAAATTTGTAAAAGGATTTTTGATACAACCTGTGTATATATATATATATATATATATATGGGTGTGGGGGTGCGTGCATGTATGTGCACGTATTTATTTATTGAGGAAGAAAGATTTGAAGTCCGACTTGCATGGCTGTATATTGCAATCACATCAGAAACATCAATTCCTTCACCAAAAACCAAGGAAAAGAAGACATTTTTCAAAATTCTTTTCACAAAAATTTGATTAAGAAATAAATTCAAGTGAAATCTCTCCATTTTCATTTTCCTAAAATTCCATTTTGATGCTTGGCTGGAATTTGTAAACGATTTTTCAAAAGAGAAATTAGTTCGAAATTGCTTTTTAAGATTTGTTTTATTTAAATAAATCATTTTAAGTTGCGGATTTGGTTGAAGAAGTTAATTTGCCATTTTGAAATGACTGGGTAAATGCACTTGGAATATGAAACTGGCATTATCAGAAAATGGAGAGGGGAAGGGAGTATGAGATGGAGGAAAGGGAGAGAAGAGGAAAAGAAGGAAAGTAAGAATAAAACTGAGAAGGAGGGAGTATGAGATGTAGGAAAGGGAGAGAAGAGGGAAAGAAGGAGAGTAAGAATGAAACGGAGAAGGGGGGAGTATAAGATGGAGGAAAGGGAGAGAAGAGGAAAAGAAGGAAGGAAAGAATGAAACGGAGAAGGAGGGTGTATGAGATGGAGGAAAGGGAGAGAAGAGGAAAAGAAGGAGAGTAAGAATGAAACGGGGAAGGAGGGAGCATGAGATGGAGGAAAGGGACAGAAGAGGAAAAGAAGGAGAGTAAGAATGAAACGGGGAAGGAGGGAGCATGAGATTGAGGAAAGGGACAGAAGAAGAAAAGAAGGAGAGTAAGAATGAAACGGAGAAGAGGGGAGTATAAGATGGAGGAAAGGGAGAGAAGAGGAAAAGAAGGAAGGAAAGAATGAAACGGAGAAGGAGGGAGTATGAGATGGAGGAAAGGGAGAGAAGAGGAAAAGAAGGAGAGTAAGAATGAAACGGAGAAGGAGGGAGTATGAGATGGAGGAAAGGGAGAGAAGAGGAAAAGAAGGAGAGTAAGAATGAAACGGAGAAGGGGGGAGTATAAGATGGAGGAAAGGGAGAGAAGAGGAAAAGAAGGAAGGAAAGAATGAAACGGAGAAGTGGGGAGTATGAGATGGAGGAAAGGGAGAGAAGAGGAAAAGAAGAAGAGTAAGAAGGAAACGGAGAGAGGGGGGAGTATAAGATGGAGGAAAGGAGAGAAGAGGAAAAAGAAAGGAAGGAAAAGAAGGAAACGGAGAAGGGGGGAGTATAAGATGGGGGAAAGGGAGAGAAGAGGAAAAGAAGGAAGGAAAGAATGAAACGGAGAAGGAGGGAGAGATGGAGATGGAGGAAAAGGGAGAGAAGAGGAAAAGAAGGAGAGTAAGAATGAAACGGAGAAGGGGAGTATAAGATGGAGGAAAGGAGAAGAGGAAAAGAAGGAAGGAAAGAATGAAACGGAGAAGGAGGGGGGAGATGGAGGAAAGGGAGAGAAGAGGAAAGAAGAAGGAGAGTAGGAATGAAACGGAGAAGGGGGAGCATGGAGATGGAGGAAAGGGAGAGAAGAGGAAAAGAAGGAGAGTAAGAATGAAACGGAGAAGGGGGGGGAGATGGAGGAAAGGAAGATGGAAAAAGAAGGAAAAGAAACGGAGAAGAGGTGTGAGAAGAAAGGGAGAAGAGGAAAAGGAAAGAATGAAACGGAGAAGGAGGGGCATGAGATGGAGGAATGGAGAAGAGGAAAAGAAGGAGAGAAAAGAGGGGGGTATGAGAAAGGAGAGAAGAGAAAAGAAGGAAGGAAAGAATGATACGGAGAAGGAGGGGATGAGATGGAGGAAAGAGAAGAGGAAAAGAAGGAGAGAAAGAATGAAACGGAGAAGAGGAAGTATGAGATGGAGGAAAGGGAGAGAAGAGGAAAAGAAGGAAAGTAAGTGAAACGGAGAAGGGGGGAGTATGAGATGGAGGAAAGGGAGAGAAGAGGAAAAGAAGGAAGGAAAGAATGAAACGGAGAAGGAGGGTGTATGAGATTGGAGGAAAGGGAGAGAAGAGGAAAAGAAGGAGAGTAAGAATGAAACGGAGGAAGGGGGGGGAGTATGAGATGGAGGAAAGGGAGAGAAGTGGAAAAGAAGGAGAGTAAGAATGAAACGGAGAAGGGGGGTATGAGATGGAGGAAGGGAGAAAAGAGGAAAAGAAGGAAAAGAAGAATGGGAAAGGAGGAAAGTATGAGATGGATGGAGGAAAGGGAGGGGGAAAAGAAGGAGAGGGAGGAAAAGGGAGAGTATGAGATGGAGGAAAAGAGAAGAGGAGAAAAGAAGGAGAGTAAGAATGAAAGGGGAGAAGAATGGAGTATGAGATGGAGGAAAGGAGAAGAGGAAAAGAAGGAAGTAAGAAATAAATGGGAAATGAGATGGAGAAAAGGGGGGGAAAAGAAGGAGATGGAATGAAAGGGAGAGGAATGAGATGGAAAAAAGGGAGAGAAAGGAAAAGAATGATATGAATACGGAGAAGTGGGGAGTATGAGATGGAGGAAAGGGAGAGAAGAGGAAAAGAAAAAGGAGAGTAAGTATGAAACGGAGAAGGATGGAGTATAAGATGGAGGAAAGGGAGAGAAGAGGAAAAAAGGAGAGTAAGAATGAAACGGAGAAAGGGGTATGAGATGGAGGAAAGGGAGAGAAAGGGAGAAGGAAGGAAAGAATGAAGGAAGTGGGGGATGAGATGGAGGAAAGGGATAAGAGGAAAAGAAGGAGGTAAGAATGAAACAGAGAAGGAGGAAGTATGAGAGGGAGGAAGGGAGAAGTGGAAAGAGGAGAGTAAGTATGAAACGGGAAAGGATGGAGTATAACATGGAGGAAAGGAGAGAAGAGGAAAAGAAGGAGAGTAAGAATGGAAGAAGGAGGGAGTATGAGATGGAGGAAAGGGTGAATTGGAAAAGAAGGAGAGTAAGAATGAACGGAGAAGGGGGGGAGTTTGAGATGGAGGAAAGGGAGAGAAGAGGAAAAGAAGGAGAGCAAGAATGAAACGGAGAGGAGGGGAGTATGAGATGGTGGAAAGGGAGAGAAGTGGAAAAGAAAAGTAAGTATATAACTGAGAAGAATATGAATGGAGAAAGGGAGGGGGAAAAGGAGATAAGGAGGAAAGGGAGAGAAGAAAGGGGAAAAGAAAAAGGAGAGTAAGAATGAAACGGAGAAGGAGGGAGTATGAGATGGAGGAAAGGGAGGAAAGAAAAGAAAGATGAAACGGAAGGGGGAGTATGAGATGGAGGAAAGAAGAGGAAAAGAAGGAAGGAAAAGAATATAACTGAGAATGGGGAGTATGAGATGGAGGAAAAGGAGGAAGGAGGAAAAGAAGGAGAATAAGAATGAAACGGAGAAGGAGGGAAATGAGATGGAGGAAAGGGAGAGAAGTGGAAAAGAAGGAGAGTAAGAATAAATGGAGAAGTGGGGGAGTAGGAGATGGAGGAAAGGGGAAGAGGATAAGAAAGAAGGAGAGTAAGTATGAAACGGAAAAGGATGGAGTATAACATGGAGGAAAGGGAGAGAAGAGGAAAAGAAGGAGAGTAAGAATGAAACGGAGAAGGGGGAGTATGAGATGGAGGAAAGGGAGAGAAGAGGAGAAGAAGGAAGGAAAGAATATAACTGAGAAGTGGGGAGTATGAGATGGAGGAAAGGGAGAGAAGAGGAAAAGAAGGAGAGTAAGAATGAAACGGAGAAGGAGGGAGTATGAGAGGGAGGAAAGGGAGAGAAGTAAAAAAGAAGGAGAGTAAGAATGAAACGGAGAAGTGGGGAGTATGAGATGGAGGAAAGGGAGTGAAGAGGATAAGAAAGAAGGAGAGTAAGTATGAAACGGAAAAGGATGGAGTATAACATGGAGGAAAGGGAGAGAAGAGGAAAAGAAGGAGAGTAAGAATGAAACGGAGAAGGAGGGAGTATGAGATGGAGGAAAGGGAGAGAATTGGAAAAGAAGGAGAGTAAGAATATAACTGAGAAGTGGGGAGTTTGAGATAGAGGAAAGGGAGAGAAGAGGAAAAGAAGGATAGTAAGAATGAAACGGAGAAGGAGGGAGTATGAGATAGTGGAAAGGGAGAGAAGTGGAAAAGAAGGAGAGTAAGTATATAACTGAGAAGTGGGGAGTATGAGATGGAGGAAAGGGAGAGAAGAGGAAATGAAAGAAGGAGAGTAAGTATGAAACGGAGAAGGATGGAGTATAAGATGGAGGAAAGGGAGAGAAGAGGAAAAGAAGGAGAGTAAGAATGAAACGGAGAAGGAGGGAGTATGAGATGGAGGAAAGGGAGAGAAGTGGAAAAGAAGGAGAGTAAGAATGAAACGGAGAAAGGGGGTGTATAAGATGGAGGAAAGGGAGAGAAGAGGAAAAGAAGGAGAGTAAGAATGAAACGGAGAAGGAGGGAGTATGAGATGGAGGAAAGGGCGAGAGGAGGAAAAGAAGGAAGGTAAGAATATAACTGAGAAGGGGGGAGTTTGAGATGGAGGAAAGGGAGAGAAGAGGAAAAGAAAGAAGGAGAGTAAGTATGAAACGGAAAAGGATGGAGTATAACATGGAGAAAGAGGAAAAGAGAGAAGGGAAAAGAAGGAGAGTAAGAATGGAGGAAACGGAGAAGGAGGGAGTATGAGATGGAGGAAAGGGGAGACAATTGGAAAAAGAAGGAGAGTAAGAATATAACTGAGAAAAGGGAGTATAAGATGGAGAAAAGGGAGAGAAGAGGAAAAGAAGGAGAGTAAGAATGAAACGGAGAAGGAGGGTGTATGAGATGGTGGGAAAAGAGAAGTGGAAAAGAAGGAAAGATAATAATATAACTGAGAAGAAGAGGGGAGATGGATGGAAAGGAGAGAAGAAGAAATGAAAGAAGGAGAGTAAGTATGAAACGGAGAAGGATGGAGTATAAGATGGAGGAAAGGAGAGAAGAGGAAAAGAAGGAGAGTAAGAATGAAACGGAGAAGGAGGTGTATGAGATGGTGGAGATGGTGGAAAGGGAGAAGTATGAAAAGAAAAGGAGAGTAAGAAATAAGAAAACGGAGAAAGGGGTGTATAAGATGGAGGAAAGGGAGAGAAGAGGAAAAGAAGGAGAGTAAGAATGAAACGGAGAAGGAGGAGTATGAGATGGAGGAAAGGGGAGAAGTGGGAAAAGAAGGAGAGTAAGAATGAAATGGAGAAGGGGGAGTATGAGATGGAGGAAAGGGAGAGAAGAGGAAAAGAAGGAGAGGAAGAATGAAACGGAGAAGGAGGGAGTATGAGATGGAGGAAAGGGAGAGAGAAAATGAAAGAAGGAGTGTAAGAGATGGAAACGGAGAGAAGGAGAAAAGAAGGGTTATGGAAATGGAGGAAAGGGATGGAGGAAGAGGAAAAAGAAGGAGAGTAAGAATGAAACGGAGAAGAATGGAGTATGAGATGGAGGAAAGGGGAGAGAAGAGGAAAAGAAGGAGAGTAAGAATGAAACGGAGAAGGGGGGAGTATGAGATGGAGGGATGGGAGAGAAGAGGAAGAAGTAGAGTAAGAATGAAACGGAGAAGGGGGGAGGATGAGATGGAGGAAAGGGAGAGAAGTGGAAAAGAAGGAGAGTAAGAATGAAACGGAGAAGTGGGGAGGATGAGATGGAGGAAATGGGAGAAGAGGAAAAGAAGGAGAGTAAGAATGAAACGGAGAAGGGGGAGTATGAGATGGTGGAAAGGGAGAGAAGAGGAAAAGAAGTAGAGTAAGAATGAAACGGAGAAGGGGGGGAGTATGAGATGGAGGAAAGGAGAGAAGAGGAAAAGAAGGAGAGTAAGAATGAAACGGAGAAGGGGGAGTATGAGATGGAGGAAAGGGGAGAAGAGGAAGAAGTGGGTAAGAATGAAACGGAGAAGGGGGAGGATGAGATGGAGGAAAGGGAGAAGTGGAAAAGAAGGAGAGTAAGAATGAAACGGAGAAGTGGGGAGTATGAGATGGAGGAAATGGAGAGAAGAGGAAAAGAAGGAGAGTAAGAATGAAACGGAGAAGGGGGGAGGATGAGATGGAGGAAAGGGAGAGAAGAGGAAAGAAGGAAGGAAAGAATGAAAGGGGGAGAAGTGGGGTGTATGAGATGGCGGAAAAGAGAGAATAGGAAAAGATGTAGAGTAAGAATGAAACGGAGAAGGGGGGGATGAGATTGAGGAAAGGGAGAGAAGAGGATAAGAAGGAGAGTAAGAATGAAACGGAGAAGGAGGGAGTATGAGATGGAGGAAAGGGAGAGAAGTGGAAAAGAAGGAGAGTAAGAATGAAACGGAGAAGGGGGGAGTATGAGATGGAGGAAAGGGAGAGAAGAGGAAAAGAAGGAAGGTAAGAATATAACTGAGAAGTGGGGAGTATGAGATGGAGGAAAGGGAGAGAAGAGGAAAAGAAGGAGAGTAAGAATGAAACGGAGAAGGAGGGAGTATGAGATGGAGGAAAGGGAGAGAAGTGGAAAAGAAGGAGAGTAAGAATATAACTGAGAAGTGGGGAGTATAAGATGGAGGAAAGGGTTAGAAGAGGAGAAGAAGGAGAGTAAGAATGAAACGGAGAAGTGGGGAGTATGAGATGGAGGAAAGGGAGAGAAGAGGAAAAGAAGGAGAGTAAGAATGAAACGGAGAAGTGGGGAGTATGAGATGGAGGAAAGGGAGAGAAGAGGAAAAGAAGGAGAGGAAGAATGAAACGGAGAAGGAGGGAGTATGAGATGGAGGAAAGGGAGAGAAGTGGAAAAGAAGGAGAGTAAGAATGAAACGGAGAAGTGGGGAGTATGAGATTGAGGAGAGGGAGAGAAGAGGAAAAGAAGGAGAGTAAGAATGAAACGGAGAAGGAGGGAGTATTAGATGGAGGAAAGGGAGTGAAGAGGAAAAGAAGGAAGGTACGAATATAACTGAGAAGTGGGGAGTATAAGATGGAGGAAAGGGTTAGAAGAGGAGAAGAAGGAGAGTAAGAATGAAACAGAAGGGAGGAGTATGAGATTGAGGAAAGTGAAGGAGAAGGAGCGTAAGAATGAAGAAAAGAAAGGAGAAAAACGAAATTGAAGACTGAATGTTTGGTACGTTTAGATTTGTTTTATGGCGTATAAACCTCAATGTGTTATTTAGTACGAACAAACTTTTTACAACAGATTCGTATGAACAGTAGAGAATATGTATTCTTAGTACGAAATCAGTTTGTAAATAAGATTTCATTGACCTATTTTTGCTAAGAGTGTTTTTGTTGAAAGTCAAATATATTGCTTGTAATATTTTTTTTCGAAAATGTATTGCTGGTATTTTAACTATAAAATTTTTTTTTAACTATAAAAAAAAACTATAAAAATGTATTTTTACACTTTCATAGTGTTTTGACACCAGTTTGGGGGTTAACTATTTGCCTACAGCTGGGACCCTAACAGGTGCTACCACTCCGGGTCAGGTTGAAGCTGGGAACAACAGCAATTAAGAGGTGGTTCCACGCTCCTCAAAACCTTCTAGGCCTTGCTGCTGGATGCAGTTTATTGTTCATATCCAGGACAAATTCTTCAGTAATAATTTTTGCCTCGTAATATATGGGTCGGTAGGATTGGGTATTATCCCTCACTTACTTCACTCTCTCCGCCACTGATAAGTAATCGGCAAAATTTCCCTACAGTGGTGATAGTAAAAAATAAACAGTACAGACTATATGCGATGTGCTGTTTAATAATACAAAAATCTTTCTCCTGATGAAATGATGACTGATTTGACATTTTTACTGGACGTCAAATCAGCCGTCCATGGTAATGGGACTTCATTTGAAAAAGGGCCGTAGAATCTAATGAAGCGTCACAGTCGACACAGCCAACTATGGGACAATAACTATAGTCGCCAAACACTGGTTCGAATCACATACTTGACAATATGTGTTGACGAATTCATGACATAGCTGTCATCGATTGTCGCCTTAGTATATACAATTCTTAGTCTGTGTGGATACCGTCAGTAATATACAGTCTTCTTTGGTGAAAGACTCGAGATCTAATAAGTGAATTAGAGACTGGATTAAAGAAAGAAAGGTTGAACAATGAAAGCAGGGCCTAAAGAAAGAAAGAAAGAAAGAAAGAAAGATAGAAAGAAAGAAAGAAAGAAAGAAAAAGAATGGAATTTGCCCCTTTTTTTCAGGCTCGTAGATCAAGTGGGAGAAACATTGGCATTAATAGAACCAAAAGAAAATAGCAACCGTCACTGACAACAAATAAATGATAGAATAAGTGACAATTATTAATCTCTTTTTTAGATTTATTCTTAATTCTGTTATACCGCTGTTTCGATGAAATTGATCGAAAAAAATGCAATCAACCTTTTCTTTCCTTGCATTTCACTAAACTGGTTGTATTCATGGCTTCTCTTCAAAGAGCTTCGTGTTAAAATCCAATTTCTTTACTGAAAAAAATAATGTTTTGGCAGACGGAACACAGATGGGAACCATAACGCGAGAATTAACTGAATATAAAACAAAAACACGATTTTTTTCGGCCATCTTAATAGCTAACATTTATTACTTTTTTATCTTAAATAATTTTCGCGCCCAAAAATTTTCTTGTAGCTATGAAAATAATCATGTCTTAACAGATTTACTTTTGTCCTTAGGATTTAATTTTTCACTGCTTTAATCCAGAAACAGCTTATATCTTTTGTTGTTTACACCTAAGTAAAGAGATATTTAATACGTGTAGACGAATCTTGATTAAATAAAATTACAATAAATGAATAAAACCTGTAAAACGTGTATTGTTATTAATGTTTGACTATTTTTTTTTCATTTTACTGTTACTGTTTTACTGTTATAGCAAGGCTCTTAAATATTAAATGATTATTTATCAATTATTTATTAAGTATTAAATATTTACATATTACCTGGAAACCAACAGAATAATCTGAAATAAAAATAAAAACATTAACAAAGAACCTAGGTAAGTCTTTAACCAAACTATATATGGTAGGACACTCCTGTGGTATTCGAGATATGAGGGTCAAGCAGCTCACTTCATAGGAACCGACAGCCAGACACCAGCACATATAATTTGATTATAGTGGTGAAGGCATTGGGCAGAACCAACCACACACTTTGAAGAGCCGAATACAGAGACCTTCTGGTACCGTGTGCCACAAGGTCCCCCAAACGACCCTCCGCACGTTTTGAATTCAAAGTTGTCATTCTCCTGGACCAGTTACTATCCAAAGCTATAGAACCCAGTCTGTTCAGCTATTTACCCATAGCTGGAGGGAAAAGAAGAGAATTAATACCTTTCCCAAGAAGGATATTAATCCTCTTATATATATATATATATATATATATATATATATATATATATATATATATATATATGTAGTTTTAAGACATATTATATTTGTAGATTAAAGTGCTCAATGTCAGGGATAGAGTGTATGTAAATATAAAAGTGGATATTAAAGTCAACACTTAGAGGCGACAGTCTGTTTCATCCCGCCTGAGGATTGCGCTAAGCATGAAACAAACTGTTATCTCTGGGTGTTAACTTCAATTCCCATATATATATATATATATATATATATATATATATATATATATATATATATAGTCATCCACAGACAGACTGTTCCGCTGTATCACAGCTCATCAGTGTGGCTAGACATCCGACTGCTTCAAGCCAGGATCGAAACCCAAACGATTTGGCATGTCAGAGATTATATATATATATATATATATATATATATATATATATATATATATATATATATATATATATATATGTGTGTGTGTGTGTGTGTGTGTGTAAAATATATAGAAAATAGGAAAAGAACTCGTTCGGTAAATAATCCAAAGTTCTTTAGTATTTTTGTTATTATTTTAAAAAAATAGTGCTCGATACAAAAGTAGAGTATAAATATAATTATTTATATAAAAAATATGATTTCAACGCTGCATAAGAGTTCTCATGTTTCAAAACAAGAGCCGAAAACTTCAATATAATTATTTGAATTAAATTGAATTAAAGTACTAAGCTCTGTTCCATTTTCGCTTGAAGATCTAACAGAGTTTAGTACTTTAATTCAATTTAGTTCAAATAATTATATTGAAGTTATTGGCTTTTGTTTTGAAACATGAGAACTCTTATGTAGCGGGTTGGAATCATATTTTAAATAAATAATTATATATATATATATATATATATATATATATATATATATATATAAATGTGTTTACATGATTACAATTTCCCCCCTTATCAAGTAGATATATGGATGTTTTGTTGTTAGCTAATTCTTTCAGGGCTTTGATGTATTTTCGAGGAAGTATGGTTTCGTTCGTATTTTTGTGTGTAGCTGTGATTAGGTCCTATATATATATATATATATATATATATATATATATATATATATATATATATATATATGTACCCCACAAACATTCGCTAGAAATCAGCTCACATGATGAAAAAACACCAGAAACTTAAGTTTTATTCTCAAAAACATTTCTTATTAAATTATATTTTTTAATCCTTTTTAGGAACTTCGCAACTTTGGTTGAAATTTTTTTTCTTGCATGAACGGTTGAGCATAAATTAGTCCGGGGCAATGTTAGCGTCTTTTTGCGGTGAAAACACATTGATATGGAAGCACCCAACAAAAACCTTTCATCTCTGTATTAATTATCTTTCTTATATTTAATATCGAGGCATTTATATCCACTTTTTTTCAAAGCTTCATTATAAAAATGACTCATGTTCATAAAATATCTCTTCATTTGCAGAGTTTATACTAATAAGTTTCTCTATGGATAAGGGTATATGATTTATTTTGGATGAGGGGTGATTTGATTTCTATAGCATTGGATGGCAACTGGTCTACCGCTGAAAGAAATGGCAATCTACCGCGGGAAAAATCTGCCTCATCAGTCATGTATCGAAAGATACATGATTGTCTAAGCGTGTATCACGCATGGCACTGATTGACTGATTTGGTTTCTTATATGGTTAAATAAAATAATTAAATAAAAAGTGTCAAAATAACCCATGACTCGATACAAATATTTCTCTGATTTTAAGTGTATCTTATAAATGTTCTAAAATAAGAAAAGTAAATCATGTTTTTCTGAAGTGATTTAACATCGCATGAAAATGGAACAAAAATTTTAATTCCGATTATATACTATTACTCTATATTTTGATACACTGAGCTCTCTTCACAGATTTATTCTTTAATATTTTATATTAAAAAGACCTAAATATAAAAGTGGACATTGAAGTCAACATCTAGCGTCGACAGTCTGTTTCATGCTTATACGCAATTGTCAGGCCGTGATAATTGCATTTAAGTATGAAACAGACTGTCGCCACTGGGTGTTGACTTCAATGTCCAATTTTATATTTACATACTCTCTCTATTCCTGTCTTTGAACACTTTAACCCATAAATATCGCATACCTTAAAACTATATTTCATTTATATATATATATATATATATATATATATATATATATATATATATATGTATGTGTGTGTATATATATATATATGTATATGTATATATATAAAAGGAAGAGGTTATAGTAGTTCCAAGGAGAGAAAAGTGTGTATATTAAAAAAAGGAGAGAGAAACTGCAAACTTTTTTAGTTGTAATGTTGGTTTTAAAAAAAAAAAAATGCTTTATTTTCCATAATTTTGCTACACGAGTTTCCGATCTTGCGACCGTCATCAGGCAAAGGGTGGAGATTTCCACATATTATTAAAAATAATTAATTTTTTTCTTTATGTTTTTCGATGTTAAATATTCTCGATATGAGACATTCTCTTTTTTGTGTTAGTGATCAAACGTCTTTCTTGAACTGGCTGTGAAAAGTTCTGCGTGAAGGTTATAAAACAATAAGGATTGGTTCGAGAAATGATGGAGTAGTTATCGGAATGCTTATCTTTTAATGACCCCTGTGTGTTCTTAGATCTATTTTCATATTCGTGTGCTTTTGTCAGCATGCGTGTATATATGTGTATATCCCCTCTCAATGCCTGTCAGTAGTTCTGCTTTTGTCAATATATATATATATATATATATGTATATACACACACATTCGTGCCCCACAAACAACCGCATGTGAGCGTGCGTGTATGTATGTGAGTGGTTTGATCACTGTATTTGGTCACTGTGTATGCATGTTGTGTGCTTTTGCGTGTGTTGTTATGACCTATTTAGTTCTGGTTGAAATTTGTTTATGAAGTTTTTTTCTTGTATTTGTAGGTAAGAATAATTGTCTGTTTGATATATTGGCATAATTTAAAATTTTCCCTGGTTACATTTGAAGATATATTGTGATACAAAAAGTTTTCAGTTGTCTGTTAATTTTATGTTGCTTTTGTGTAGGGAAACTCTGTTGTTCAGTTGTTGACTGATGCCTATATTATGACTTCTTACATTTTGTGCATTTAAGTACATAAATCACATTTGTGGAGTTGCAGTTTAAGTTTTTATTTATTATGAATGTTGTTTTGGGGTTTTCAAAAGTGTAGGAGTTTCCTTCTATAATGATGTCACAAACCCCACATCTTTTTTGGTTGCATTTTGTGACTCCCTGTATTGTGTGTTGGTTAAATTTGGATGAGGTTAATATATGTTTTAGGTTTTTAGATTGGCGTTTGCTTTTAATTATTTTGGTTGTTTTCAGTATATTTTTCAGTTTATTATTCTTGCTAAGTAGGTCTAGGTTTTTTTTGTAATTTCTGGGAATAATTCTGGATTGTTTCTGTTGTATGTTGAGACATATGCTAGAGTTTGTTCGACGTTACGTTTCTTTTAATTTCTAAGTTGGTCTAGAGGAATTTTTTTTGCGAGTTCAAAACCTTTGTTTATTCGTGTTGCGGGGTAGCCTCGTTTTTTAGAGTTTTATGTAGTTCTTCTAGGCGGGTTTTTCGGAGATGTTTATCAGTCACTATAGTACAAACCCTACGTTCTAGAGAATAGGGGATGGATTTTAGGCTGCTTTTTGGGTGATGGCTCTTGAAATGAAGGTATTGCTGGGTGTCTGTGGGTTTGTGGTAGATATCTGTATATTATGTGGTTGTTTTTATTTCTAATAAGTATATCTAAAAATTGTAATTCGTTAAAATTATATTCTTGATTTTTGGGTGTAAGTTCTGAAGTAGAATGTG